TCGGAGCCCCCCTGCCCTCCATCCAGGAACTGTACTCCAATAGAACCAGGAAGAGGGCAGGGAACATCATCACAGACCCCACTCATCCTGGTCACAAACTGTTCTCCCTCCTCCCCTCTGACAGGCGATACAGAGTCCTGCAGACTAAAACCACCAGACACAAAAACAGTTTTTATCCCACTGCCATAACCCTACTGAACAGCTGAGCCACTCCAAGCCACAACTGCTATTTGCACTTCCATTTTGCACTAATGTACATATACCTTTTTCTACTAGATGTGTAAATTATTGTATATATTTGTCTTATTATCTTGTTTTATTTTTTATTAATATTTCTTGTATTTTATTCTTTTCTTTCTTTAGTTATTTTACTTTATTTTATTTTATTTTTTAATTTTCTTATTTCTATTATTCGTGCAAATTCCTAGGGTGACACTAACAGCCGAAACCAAATTCCTTGTATGTTGTGTACATACTTGGCCATGAAAGCTGATTCTGATTCTGATTCATTTAAAGCTACGTGTACAATATAGTGTACAAAGCAGTGTATGTGAATGAAGAGGACAGATACAAGCTGTCTGTTAATTCCGAACACATGCAGGAACAACCATCTTCTTACAGCTGGGTAGGTCAACTTAGCATCTTATTGACCCTACTTTTACCTTATTTGATTTATTAGTTCAGTAAACATTTTCCTAATGACTTTATTCTTTCAATCGCTAATTTTAAACTCCTTCAATATAGCATGATGTTAATTTTGTCAAGTATGGTCCCATTTAAAGGAAAATAGAACAAGAAGCAGAGTATGCTTTAGGGCGGCGCTGCCTTGTGATTGACAGGTTGCTACCGATGGGCGTGTGGCGTTGTTAAGTTCTCACTTTGATTAATGATGGTCTCCATCATTAAACCAACGACAAACCTTATGCTATTTATCTGAGCTGTCGGATATATCATCCTGCAGAATGTGCAGTTATGAACATAAAAATACGACTGCTAGGTCTTACACCATTCTTTACAATGTTTGCTGGGTTGGTACACATGAAAATGTTAACATGGTTTGTGTATTTTGATGACTTTGAACTCATAATAAAACAGCAGTGATGCTGACAGCAGAGTCTGTTGGACTGGTTTTATTCATTGCATGGGTCAGCCACGCGGCCGATGAACAGCAGCGTGTTGATGGTTGACTCTCTAATGAGCAGCAGGAATGGCCGATCGGCCAGAAAAACCTGTCTGAACGGGTTGATGGAACGTCCAACGACCATCACAGCGGTAGCTGCTGCTGCCTCGCTGCCCTCCTCGTTCACCTGCAAACCAAAAGACAGCTTTTTGTAGCATCCTGTCTTCTAGGCTGCTCTGCCTTTGCAACGTAGGCATTAAAGATACATGATGGATGTAAAAGAAACTTTGATGGTTTCAAATACAATAATAAAACAGCTCTCCAAATATTAGCAGCTTGTAGGCTACAAATATGAGGAATAAGACATTTAATCTATTTAATTAATTATTGATTTGTTATTTAAAGTCATTTTAGGATGTGCACACACAAGCACAATTTGTGACAGTAGTTTGGAAGCCATTCACATTCAGATCAGCAGCCTTAAGAAGTGTGATGGCTTTGCCAGGAGGGGCCACTGAAAACCTCTGGGTGGTACACCAAAACTGCCTCCATCAAATCCAAAACTCTGACACTTATCCACAAAACTACAATGAGAACAGCTTTGTCCAACCTAAACTCTCTCATTCAGGCCTACACTCCCTCTGCTCCCTAACTCAACCAACAAAAGGCTCCTGATACAACCACCACAACAGGCCGAGGTCGATAGCTAGACTCTTGTTCTCTGTGGTTCCCTGGTGGTGGAACAAGTTACCAAACTCTGTTCCATCTGCTGATTTCCTCTCAGTCTTTATGAAAAGACTAAAGATCACCTCTTCACTGAACACCTCTGCACTTGACAGACTGGGGAAAAATAAGAAAAAACAAAACAAACAAAACAATTTCCCATTACCTCCTACACAGCCTGCTATTGGCATCAATGCCCTATCACACTTGGACTTGTTCTATGGCACTTATCCAGGTTGTTTTTCTCATGAGTTGATCCTTGCTCATGTTGTATCTACTCTCAGATTTGCGTTGCTTTGGATAAAAGTATCTGCTAAATGAACTTGTGGAATTGTAGCCCAAAACCAAAAGCAATCCCTCAATTCCATAAATTCTGTTATGCTGTTGTAATGTAGAGACTGCTTTAAAACCATGTCCACATGAGAGTTAAGAAATCACATTGTGATATACTTGTGTTTCCTATTTTACAGTTAATGTTGCTAATTATCTGACGTACGCAGCGTAATACAGCTACAGTGAACATTTTGGTCACTTGGGCGAACACTGGCCAAAATAGCTCAGAAAAAGTGCTGCAGTGTGTTTGAGGGGAAAAGTTCACCTGTAGGCAAAACATGTACAGCTTATGATTTCAATACAGCTATCAAACTACAGCAACATATGCTTCAGTGAAATTCGTTTTCATGACTACAAGGTCAGCTGTTGCCGTATTTCGCTCGTTATTTCAGTGAGAAGTCACATTCTCTAACACATACATATGCACAATACAGTGTTGCAGAACAGAAAACATCTCCCTCAAAGAAAAACTTGATGAAAATAGAAATATTTAGAAATGTAGACACTTACACAATATCCAGCTGAGACTTAGCAGAATTCAACCGTGTAACAAGTGATTTACTTGCAGCTAATAACCTGTGACTCTGTGTGAAAGCTCATCTGCCTAAAATGAAAACAAGTGTGCAGTGTCATTTACAGTCACTTCCTGATTAATCTTGTCTCCATGTGGGAGATAATTTATTCGTAATTAATGAAGTTTCTGCTGCGCTGTGTTGTGTTGCTCTAGCGATTCTCACATGGATCCTGCTACTGTCTGATGCTGCTGGTATTTAATCAACTCAGAGGAAAGACTCTTCTAAACATCTGGAAGCAAACTGAACAGCGCCTGTTAGCATTTCTTTCAAAGCTCAGATGATATTCTTCAATATTATGAAGTATTCGTCACTGTGTAGTTTCATTTCTATGGAAATATCAGAATATAAATATTATTTGTAATAGACGTCAAATTGTTTAGCAAAATGAAAGAAAAAAAGTCTTAACGGCAAAAACTGTCTTTTGGAAAAAAAATGCATCAATGAGCAGTTGTATGTGAGTCAACAGCATCTGACTGACCTCCAAGAAAGCTTTGTGGTAGGCGTCTGAGATGTAGAGACCATCACTGCCGTCCTCCAGCATCCCTGAATCACACACAAGATTAGAATGAGTCATTTTTGTTAGAATTTAGTTAGAAAATGTTCTTGATGTTTGTCAGGTTATTTTTTAGACTTTTTATAATTCCAGTAACCGTTTGACTAATGGTTCGATTAAGAATGTAAGACATTACAAACAGCTGACAATATGCCACATTTTAGACTTGATGTACATAATTTTTGGCATGAGTCACCAGAATCAAAAGCAAGAACATTTTAAGAATTTAAGATGTCTTGCTTGTGTAGCAAAAAAACAAACAAACAAAAAAAACAGTCTGCATCAAGTGTTTAGTTAATTCGCAGGTTTTCATCAACATAAAAATTTGCGATTGTTGAGGTTTTGACAGAATCACAAAACTAATGAAATTTTGCTCCAAGGGCCAAACTTCAAAAACTCAGGGGTAAGAAAGTGTTTGGAGAAGAGCTTCATGATTTTTCCACATTTTTTAAAAGGAGAATCCCAGACATTGTCACAGAAGGTTTGGAGTGTTGCCCTACAATGAGTCATGAATCACAAGTGGCAGGAAGTTGAAAGTTCTTCTAACTCTTAATGTTACTATAAGCAGTGTTTTTACCATTTTTTCCCCTAAAATGTGTACAACATTTAGGCGTTGTGAAAAAAACGCATTGCTAATACCGCAGTGTGCTCATTGCTGGATCTAGTTGCTGACCTGTAAGTTGCTGCTCTGCACCTACTCGCAGCTGAAAGTAGCAACACTCGTCCCGTGGACTCACTTCATCTACATTTAATTCAATTTCAGACTACATATATATATATAAATAACCTGGCAGGCTGGCCTTCTCAGCGCTGAACAGGTCGGTCAGTCCCATGGCCTGCAGGTTCTCCTTCAGACCAAAGCTGTCCCCCACCCTGAAGCGAGGGATGTGGATGGAGACGGTGGTTTCTTCCATCTGATCCAACCAGCCACTCAGTTTCTGCAGATCCAGACTCTCCTCCACCTCAACGCAAACACATACAGCAAGTAGGTGAAGCACAGGAGCCGGGTTTCTGCAGTTACCAAATAACATGTATAGATTAAGTCAAACAGCAGGGCCAATAAGCTTTCTGGTTTTATATATATATATATATGTGTGTGTGTGTGTGTGCGTGTGTGTACACGCCATGTTTCACAATGACTTACAATTCCATTAAGGGTTCAGTTGTGAAATTTTGTGTTTCGTAATACCTTTTATTATTTATAATTTTTGTAATTATTATTTGATCCTGTTCACTTTGGGTGGAAAAGTCAGAAAATGTGATGTTCATTATTAAATGTGATCAAAAAAGGAAAGACACTCACAGCATCAGATCTCTAAAGTGAACAAGTGCGGCTCTGATTACCTTTCTGAGTGGAGTATCTTTCTTGGGCAGGATGACCACCATGGTGATGTCGTCTCCACGGTACGGCATCTCCAGCAGCTGCACCTCGTCATCAGGGAAGTGCTTGTACCTGAACTTGGCCTCCTGGTACATCATGTTAACTGGACAGCTGTGGCTCTTGCTTACGTGGAAATCTGAGACGAACACGTTGGCTTTGTCAAATTTGTTCTTCCACTGACCCTGAGAGGCAGAAAGATTTAGGTCAGTGCTCTTCACTGACTTCACTGTTTCTAACAGCAGATTTCCAATGATGGAGTGCACTTCCCCACTAAAAGCAATCTGCCGTTCTCAGTTATACTGTAAACCATGAGAACAGGACAGAGATGGAGGTTAAAAAACACATTTTTCAGGTAAGATAGTACACTGTTGCCCATAAAGTTGGAATAATTTTGTTTTCAGACACATTCCTCTTTTTGTTTCTATTCATACACATCAGTAATCACTTTGACCAGGTACAATGATTACACACTGAGTCCCAGTTACCAGGTGAAACCAATTCTGACTTTGGGATCTCACTGAAGAGTGGGACATTCTGCCCATTGACACTATCAACCAGCTGGTGGACAGCATGCCCCAATGTCTTAAAGGATTGATCCGTGTCAGGGGTGGCCAGACTCAATATTAGTGACTGAGGGACATTTAAAGAGTAACATTGAACATTCTTTTGCATGAAATGCCCTCGAATATGTGTTTCCTGTTATATGACCAAGGTTGAAAAATATAAACAAAACCCTAAGTCCTATTGTTCAATACCCCAAATTAGTTTAAACCTCAATACACAGTTTGCAGAAGTTAGTTGTGGTTTAACTTTCACTGTGACATATATTGTATGTATATTGTGCTATCAATAAAGTTTTGAGAAGATATACACTTTATCAAGAATAAATCACATCGTCACGATCATTTTATGAGAAGAGGTAAAAAAAATATACATATATATTATTCCAACTTTGTGGGCAGCAGTGTAGATGCAGAGATTAGAATAACGCAAACTGTGCAGAACATCAGTGGAGAAAAATGAATGACTTCATTTAAAAATGTGAAGTTAATCTGCGCTGGTGCGCTGGATAATACAACCTCTCTATTCCCTCAGTTTTGTGACAGAAATTTGGTGCAGATATTCATGTTTCCCTCAGGACGAACTGCAGTCTCTCACCCTTTTCATTAGGTGAAAATGGTATGTCCGTTCTTGGGTTTAGTTAAGCATCTTAGAAAACTAGTGAGCAAACGTGGACACTATGTATCACAGGATCAATGAGAAGGCCCTCCAGGTGTTTGTACCAGGGACATGAATCCCAGCCTGTCAGACAGCAAAATAAGCTGCCTATGCTCCGATCTCAGAAAACCAACCTTGATCTAATTCATCTGTCTGTGTTAAGGTCTGTCAGAGTTTACCGAACTTGTCAGCTGGCCTGACAGCATGTCATTCAAACTAGTTGCAATCAAGCTGAAAATGAAGCCAGATGCAGCGAGTCACAACATCTGTAGTCCAGCTGGGACTTCTGCTGTCTGTCATCTCTCCGCTGACAGCTATTGGTGGCTCAAAGGTACTTGATACCTTTTTGAGAAACACTTGTGAGAATGATTTTATGAAGTCATTATACTTCAAAGACCTGACTGTAATGCTACAAGAATAAGTTGGAATATTACAGTAAGATTAAAAAAAAAACCAAAAAAAAAAAACCTTAATGTCGTGAGGATGTAGTTACAAGATGAAAACTAGCAATATTTCAAAACAAATAAATGTGTTATTCTTGGTGAACAAATTAGAATGTTTTGCAGTCAACACGGCATTAGGACTTTCTCTGCTCTTTATGTCATCTTTTTCAGTTACTGGGTCAGGCAGTCAGCGGTGACCAGCTGGTAACCTGCTATGTTGTTTAACATCTGCATCTGTGTCCATAAAAGGGATTTTAACATCTTGTTTTGTGAGATATTTCCTTAAGCCTCCCTCAGCAGGGAGCTGAAAACTGTTAAAATAATCTGCAAAGGCAGCCACAGAGTGCGGTTGTATTATGGCACATGAAGAACTCTGTAAAAGCCTACAGGTGTGACTACAAGTTTCAGGTATGGCTCTCTGTAATGGTAAAAGACACGCACACACACACACACACACACACACACACACACACACACACACACAGAGTGGAGTCCTGGATCAAACAGTCAGCCCTGACATTAGAGGACATTCAGTCTTCAGGTACCTTGAAGTAGATGGTGTTAACGAGGACCAGGACAGTGGTGGAGTCCAGCACTCCCTTTGGCAGTGTGTCCTGGATCCGGTTCTCCGTCTTGTTGGAGATCCAGTTGTTGATGGTGACTCGGGCCTTTTCTGGGTTCTCCTGCAGCACAGAGCCAGAGCTATTAGTTTTACATTTTACACTTTATTCTACTCATCTTAAAATTCACCAAAAAAAGAAATAGTTTGCATCAAATTATGAAAAAAAATAAAAAAATAAAAAATGCAGTGCCTCTTGGTGCAACCGAGACATCTTGACTTGGCTGTGACGAATTCAGGCACTGTTCAGCTGAAGAATAGAAACTGAAATGCAATGAGCAGGGTCGGCCCTGACCAGTTTGGTGCCCTAGGCACCAAATGTTCAAGGACTTTTATTTTTATTTGATTGTCTTCTACAACAGTGTACTATTCTTCTGTTCCCAGACACCTGGTGACATAAGGACAATTTTCTAATATTTTAGTCCAAAAACTGGTTAAATAGAGATATTTCCATAGTTACCTTGAAGTTGAGAGGCAGCAGTTTGGCTCCGTAGACCGTCTCGCTGATGTTCTGGTACGTCTCGTTGAAGATGAGCGATTTGTCTCCGAACAGTCGGTTGGCAGAGATCAGCTCAGTGGTCTCGTCCTTCTTCCTGTACAGACGGCAATTCAGTTTGGCGAAGAAGAAGTGGACCTGATCCGACGTCTTCTCTTTGATGGTGTCAAACTCAAACACCTGCAGACACAAAAAGATTGCTTTGATCTTCAATGAAGTGAGAAACAACAAAGAAGAAAATTCAAATGCAGTAACATGACTGAAGTATTCTGGTCCCTCTCTTCTAGAGTCTGTGTGGCTTATTTGATTAGATATTATTGTTTGTTGAGTAAATCCGTTTGCACTACTCCTGTTGCTCTGTTCTGTGTGCATTTATTTCAGATCTTTGTTTTATTTGACCCATTGACTATATTTTAAGACAGCAATTGATCGGTTTTAAAGTCAATCATATCTCTAAATCTGAGTCTTAGATAAACAGTTTATGTCAGTAGTTTTGCTTGTCATACTTACATCAAGTATAAAATTTCTTCACGTCCCCACAGCAAGTAATCTTTTTAAAATAGTCATCCTGTATCTTTAAAAATCCACCTTAAATGTAAACAGGACACCATAATAAAGTATTTCAGATCCACATGTGCGAGGACTGATGTGAGCTCTGCCCATCTGAAGTTTCACATAGAAGCTCTCATCACTGCTCTTTGACAGTTGACAAATGTTGTTTGACTGTTGTGTATTTGAATCTGTTTGCTGTAAAGTTTCAGCTGATGCGTGTCCACTGGCTTACATTGCCACCATGTAAAATACTGCTGCCTGTGTGTGCTTATTAAGTCATCATGCATGCACACAAATGGATCTGATATGTAAAAACCTAAAGAGGTAAAATGCTGCAGCTTCTGGTTGCAGCAGCTTAGCTTTAATTCCTGTCTGACCTGCATGATCTGCTGCAGTGTCTGGTTGCAGGCTCCCAGTTTGGTCATGGCGAACGCAGTGGAGACGCTGATGGGGGACATGAAGATGTTGGACTCAGGGGTCTTGCTGAGGACCAGCTGCTTGTACAGTGACAGGGCGAAGCGGCTGTTGGCCTTTGACAGCTCCCACACTCGCGGGTTGGTGGACTCTGGCACCTCCTCAGGCTCCTGGGTCGGGTCCTCGGGGACCTCAGGGTCAGCGCTGCGGTAGATACAGCGTGGCTCCAGAGGGAGGTCCTTGGGTTTGGCACTGCAGATGTCCGGACGGACGGTAACAAAGAGGAATGGCAGGAACACCACAGATAACAGCCAATCAGCAGCCCTCATCCTGCACAAAGAACCAATTAGAGGTTTATCTTTCTTCTATGATGCTTGTATTGAAAGACATATTTCTGTTTTTACTATTTCTTTATATCTGACATTGCCAAAATCGATTTAATCGCAGGGCACCTGACTTACTTTTTACTTTGGCTACAGTGCTACATCTAACTTTTTCATCTATGGTCACCAGCACATAATTTAGGAGCATCCAGAAGAGGAGTGCTGCTCTCCAGGTCTACACACACGTCACAACACAGGACAAGACTCCTACAGACGCTGTCCTTTATTGATATTTAAATTCAGAATGTTGATATTCCGACAGAAAAAGCTGTGTTCCTATGCAGGCTTTGGTTGCACAACTCAGTTAAGATCCTAACAACTGACAAAAACCATCCCAAAGAGACACAGAACAACTTCAAATAAATATTAAACAACCACGGTAAGTATAAAGAGCCATTATTAACCATAATGCTTGACATGAGCAGTAACAACTGGAGTTATTAAATATTGATTAAATATCAAAGCCATCTCAAGTCAAAGAGCTGAAATTAAAGTCCAGAGTTAGTGATGTTGAACTCCTTCATTCTGCAGTTGTTTTATGATTCTATCAAAACGAGTCCAGGATCATCACACTTACAACTCAAGTACATAAAAGCATGCAACAGGAGGCAGTTTTCTATATACTGAGTACTCTTACTTTCACTACAATCAGTAGATTTGCCTGAAAATACTTGGCTACTTAAAATTTTCAAAACAGAAGGTTTGTTGCTGTGCACTGAAACAACTGAAATAAAATCAGTTCAAGTGCTGATTCTTACCTGAGCACACGGAGTTTTCATACAGATTGTGTGGCTCTGTAGGTCAGTGTCCTGTAGAGCAGTGAAACATCACTTCAACCTTTGAAACATTGATCCTCTGTTAGTCAACAAGCAGTCACAGTTTGATACCAGGAAAACTAGCAGCAGCTGTCAACAGGAAAACAAACTCACCTTGATCTCACACAGACTCCCACTGATCACGGATCAATAACTGGACGGGGGCAGTAACCACAGGAAACTTCTGCTGCCTGACCAAAAATATACCCTCAACACTGGTGGGGCAAAAATGAAAAATGTTCTCCCAGGATCAGAATTCAGAAAGGCAAAAAAATTAAAACAATAATAATAATTTTTAACCAAAAAAAAAAAAAGGCTTTTGAAATTCTAAGAAGGGTTGTTTAATGTATTTAATGAAAATAAAAAAAGTAATTTAACTTTTAAAGAATTAAGTTTTTATTTGAAGAAACATTCATTTTTAACTTTAAGAATAAAAAAAATACTTTTAAGAAGCTTTATTTAACTGTTAAGATGTTATTTTTAGATTTAAGAAATAAAATTCTTTAAAAATCGGGTATATATATATATATATTTCTTTAAAGAATTTTTTAAATTTTAAAATGAAACATTTTTTTGAAGAAATGTTTCATAATTTAAACTTTAAAATGTAAAGAATTTGAATCTTAACTGTATTTCATTTTTGTCTTTTAAACTACATTTAGTTTAGATATCTTTTTAGAAATTCTTTTTCTTAAATTTAATTAGATTTTTTATTTCGTTTTAGGAAATCCTATTAGATTTTTCATTTTCTGAAGTCTTTAAATATCTTTACGCACAGCTATGTTTCACTGACCAGAGAGAGCTTTCTAAAAACATGTTTTGTGTTCTGAGAAGATACAGCGTCCGTGGTTGATCAAAAATGTACTTCACGTACTTGATGTGACTTGAGCGCCATAGACTGGTGGCAACATGAACTACAACAGAAATCATGTGTATCACTGTAAAGTATCTAAATTCCAATGCTAATTCTTAGTTATTTCCTTGAAGCAAAAACTGTCAAAGATTTTATGTTTAATGGCATCCTGTGGAATATATGATAGATAGTGCCTTTATTATCCTTATGCTCTGGCCCTTTGGTCACACAAAAGAAGACATCTGAAGATGTCTTTCTTTTATCAACATTTTATAGACAAATTAAATATATAAATGAGTTCAAATAACGAGAAAAAGTAATACTTCTGAAGAAATTCCTTGTGTGATGGGTCCCTTCAAGTGTTCAAGAGTTCTAAAAACTACTCCGGGCTGATTTTAAAAGAAAAGTTGGACAGTATGGGAAATACATGTGACATTTACAGAAGACAACTTATGTATTTCTTATATTTACTCTAAAAATTGAGAATTAACAAATGACTTGAAAAAGCCTGCTGTAATTTAGCTGTCTAACTGGACACACGTCTGTTTTCTTCTGAGAAAAACTAAACTCACCTTTCTTTTGTTAAGCATTCTGGTCTGTGGTTCATTTTAACATTTTGGATGTTCAACAACAAAACGAAACCTGAATCTGAATGTCTCTTTCATGCTGGCTAACATATATCTACATTCACATATATCGTAAATATATTCATATTCATATATTGTTTAAACTTAGAAGCACATTTTATTTGCGGAATCATAAATACAAAAACTTTGCAAAACACATTTCACATAAAAACAGGAAGTGGCAAATAAAATGAAAAACAAGATATTTCATTAACACACACAAATCTCCAAGAAGCTGGACACGGCAGGTCAACTGGTGAAACCAGAGTGAGTCACTAACACACTGAGCATTTTGGACATGAAAATGTATAAAATCATTCAGCTGGTTTGGGCAGCAGTTTCTAGATCCGGATGTTTCCCATTCCAACCTCCGTGTGACAGATGATCCTTTTGACAAAGATGGCAGATTTCCTGTAAAAACCAGTGCTACCTGTATGAGCAGCTTTCACACTACACCTCTGAGACACACCAGTCTACATGTAGGAGTTAACAGGCTGGCTGATGGTTGCTCCTTCTCAACAGAGGGCGCAGATTTGCAGTAAAACCGGGACCTCACAAAACTTTAAAATTGAACAGTTTTTAAAAGCTCCCTGCAGATTTCTATCAGCGAATGGGTTGGTTGTCTGGCGTTTTGGGCATCAGAAGAGCTTTGAAAGCTGCCTCAAGCGGCTCAGGTCCAGGATGTTTCCCACCGATCCCTCTGTCTGACGGCTGCTTGCCCTGACTGACGATGGAGGCCTGTTCTCTGCTTTGGCGCTGCCTGCTAAAAGCTGCATTTTTGGCTGCAGGTCCTTGATCAGGTGACTCTGCGGGAGGAGCTTCACATTCTGAGTTTCTGTCAGCAGCTGGCGCTCTGATGCCTCCTGAATTCTGACCTCCTTGTGCTGCTGCTGCTCCTCCTCCTCCTCATCTTCATCTTCATCATCCTTCTCCTCCGCCTCCTCCTCAATCAAGCCGTATTTCCTCATGTACTTCCTGGTGGCCAGCGACATGTTGCTGGGTGACAGCAGGGAATCGTTGGAGGAGGGGCCACACTGAGGCAGGTGTCCTCCCAGTGACAGCCGGCTGAGCTGAGAGTCGCTCAGGTAACGCAGGGCGATGGTGTTGGCTTCCAGACTCAGATCCACGCTGCCTCCAGGGAACAGGGCCGACGGCTCAGACAAGCTCAGTCTGGAGACGACCGCTGCTGGGTTGATGCTCGCCAGAGTGCTGACAACAAACACAAACACAAACAGAGTTACAGCACTGGCTGGATGTCATGTCATCAGACTCCATCTCTTCCTTTTGTCTCAAATTCTTCTTCAAAAACTACACACGAGTACCTTTTCTACAAAGGAAAACTAATGTGGGATGCAGCATCACTCCAGGAGCACCTGCTTCTCACAACTTTGAACTCATTATGCCTCCATGGCCTGTAAAGGCCACTTCATGTCTGCGTCCACAAGGGTACACATGATGTTAGTTTCATCATCCACCCAAGCCCACCAGGGTCTGTGTGGACTGTTTGCATTACTAGCGCTTACTGCTCATGTTCCAAGATGACAGTGTGTGCTTAAAACAAATGTTTGGTATGACAGAGGCTGTACGAGAGGACTTTCTCAGTCATCCATGTCTTCATAATTAATCACTAAAAGAGTTTTAATTGGAGCAGTTGTCGCTGGACTTTGTCAATAAAAGCATGTACAAACATGGCTCCTCCAGAGCCCAAACCACTGTTTGACCCAACGTGATAAGAGCTGGTAAAATACTGTGTTAATTCCACCAGAACTGATGTTCGCTGTATTTAGTAGGAAAAATTGGAGCATATATGTGCAATCAGCAGAAATTAATTGAAAAATATCAGCATATCAAATATCAGCAAAAAAAAACAACAACAAAAAAACAAAAAACAATATTGGGCATCACTTCCTTAATATTCAAGCTGGTCCTGTTTGTCTACAACAGTGCTGCACAGTTTTCGCATGCTGCAATCAACACCGGTATTTTCTCCCTGACTATGACGGAGGGTTCCAGCATATGCTCAGCAACGTTTTCAGGGCAGCATACAGCGCCGAAAAACAGCAGCACCAACACTAGTGGTAGGTAAACAGCTGACGTTACATATGTGAGGATTCACAGCAAACTGGATTTATGATTCTGTGGAGAAGTCAAACCCATTAGTACTAGCAGTCTATAATACAGTTGGACTGCAGGAAGAGTCCATTTAGAGATTTGATCAGTATTTCCTTGTATCATACAGAGCAAAAAAATAAAATGTCGCCTGTAAAGCTGCACGGTCAGTGCTGTCTGTGTCTGACAAGTCTTCGACATGTTAATATTAGCTCAGGTGAGCTCAGTACCTGGCACTCTCTACAGCTTTGAGTCGGTTTTTATCAAACTCTGTCAGAGTTTCTTTGTCCACGTCGACTCCGAGCTGCTGCAACTGTCGCAAAGTGGCACTGACTACTGGGTCTCCTGCTGGAGTCCGCCGCTGCTGCTGCTGCTGCTTCCTGGTGGGCAAAGAGGACGACTCAGAGGGCTGAAAGCAGTGGGAGTGGTCGGAAACCACGGAGACACTCTTCCTCCTCGACTCCAATTCCTCTTTACTGTCTGACTTCTGTAGGCGACTGGTCAGCTGTGACTGAGGACGCACAGAACAAAAGAGAAGACAAGATGATGGGTCTGCACGCAGCCGCTTATAAGGTACAGACACAGCCTCCATGCAGACATAACAGCACAGAGTACACACAACTCCTATACAGTAAAACACACTCATCTGTGCTCACTAAAGTGACAGAGCATATTGAAAGAAACTAAACAGAGGCAATGTCCATAAATTGTACTACAGGCCTGCAAACGTCAGTGATAAAGTTCTGAAACCATGAGTCGCAGCTGCTGTTGAAACAAAGTTCAACTAATTTAGCTTACTTTGGACAGAAGCTCAGCTAAACAGCAAAACTTCAAGTTACAGCAACTGAAACCGGTTTCATAACTGCATGAGGTCAGACAGGGTCCTGACATAAAAAACAGAAAACTCCCTCTATGACTCTAAATATCTGAAGTGTAGCACCTTATGAATGGCATTTATTTTTTATCTTCAGTGATCTGCGTGTTGTGGAATGTTGAGGAATGGATCATCGTTGCTGTTCTCATCAGATGATCAACTTGAGATTCTAACTTTCAGGTGTCATGAGGCCATCTATCAGTGTACTACTCTGTGTGTGTGTGTGTGTGTGTGTGTGTGTGTGTGTGTGTGTTACCATGAGGTTGTGGTAGAAACTCTGCTGCTCGTCTGCAGGTCTGTACATGCTGGCACTTTCTCCCAGAACTGGACTCTGCAGAGCACTGATGCTGAACAGAAAACGGAGAATGCAAGACTTCAGTTAGAGAGAAGCCTTACCGACATGACGTAAACAGCTGTTTAGCTTCTTGACAGAGTTTCACAAACTTTAATCAATACTTTTAAAAACTATTTTAATAGCACACAGAAAGCAATTCAACACCAGCTTCCATCAAATCATCAAATGTATGAAAGACATCAATAAAAAAGGAGACAACTTTAACTGAGTGTAAAGGTTACGTTTGTTTGTAGTATTTGCATATTTCTGTCACTACTTGGGCTGAAATGATGAGTCAACTAATGCAGTCATTTTAACCTTATGTCCATACGCTGATTAGCCATAACATTAAAACCACCGATCACCTCAGTACAAATTCAAGTTCTGCTGGGAAACCTTGGGTCCTGGCATTATTGTGGATGTTACTTTGGCATGTAACACCCAACTAAACATTGCTGCAGGCCAAGAACACCCTGACAAGGCAATGGCACTCCTGACAGTAGGAGCTCCCCCCAGCAGGACAATGTGCCAGCTCAAGGAACATGATCCCAGTCCAACCAAGCATCCATGATACTGAACAAGGCTCCCCTCCACAGCCCACAGGGTCAGTGGACACTACAGGACACCCCCAGAGGTGATGTGTACCGATGATTCAGAGCTGTTTAGTGGCAGGAGGGGGACCTACACAATGTTACACAGCTAGCTTTAATGTTAGATCATTAGTCTGTGTCCTGTGTACATGTAATTCGGCTCAGCATCCACAGGCTGTGCATCTCATTATACTGCTTTTATTTAGAACATCCACCTGACTGTGTTACAGCAAACCATTGTCATTGCACACAAGAACAGACACTATAAGACTATTTTAAATAAATGTATTTGGTACTTTATTAGTTATAGATCTATGTGAGGTAGCAGCTCTAACACACTGGTGTGTAACACACCGTCAGGTAAAGACGTCAAACACTTGATGGTTGTAGATTCTCAGATGTGAGATTTTTCTTTTTTGTTTCATTTTTTACATTTGGGATTGTTTTTTTGAGACTCTCTCTCTCTCTCTCTGGAGATAGTCTCAGTCAAAGTGACATGCATCTTATAAGGATTTTTATGACTGCAAGTAAAAACACACACTGCTGGCTCTGGGGGAACCTCCCTCCACCACCGTCCTTTGTAACAGAACTTTAAGCTACCTGTAGCTTTTGAAAAACAGATACAAGACTGAAACTACTAGTATTATTGTTAATCAACTGATCAACAGAAAAAAAAGTCAAACATTTTAATAGGTGATTTTATAGTACTTGTCATTTTTCATAATGCAGGGCTCCAGATTAACCTTTTCACTGGTACAACCAACTTTCTCATTTGGTCTCACCTTCCACCTGGTCACAGGGAAAACATATGACTTGTAAAACATTTTCTTATTGAGAGACCTTACAATTTACCGATGCTCCCTAAACGCCTCACATTGCAGGCTGCGGTTGCTGCTGTTGGTACCTGTGGTGTGCTCAGACAGGTCTGTGATCAAAAATTACTTTGAAAAGTGTAAACGAGGGTGTTCTAATGTCAGATTTGTCCAAGATGAAACTGAGGGATTTTTTTCTACATGCAGTCTTTTCTATGAGTGGAATGAACACCGCATCTAGGTGCACTGCGCTTTTCATGAGAAGATTGCATTTTTTCTCAAATATATTTTTTGGGCTTATTGCCTTTATTTTAGAGCAGTAGAGATAGACAGGAAAAGGAGGAGAAGAATGGGGAGAGACCTACAACAAAGGGTTGTGAGTAGGATTCAAACTCACAACCGCTGCGTCGGGGATGATAGCCCGTTTATGGTTGGCACGCTCAACTAGGCAAGCTATAGGGGTGCCCCAGAAGACCGCATTTTTAAGCATAAGTACCACAGTACAGAGAAGTTATAAAAATACTACTTTCCACTACTGTAGTTAACACAGTATCTGCCTGTTACAGCAACACAAATACAGCTTCATGATAATCATGCACCAATGCAAATACTTCAAAATCTAACCAGCACTCTCTCAAAAAAACGTCACAAATGTGACCATTTTGGTCGAAGTCTAGAGCCCTGTCATATGATTTGTACTTGGAAAAATCTAATTCCTTCCTCAAATAACATTTTGGGTTTCATTTCATTTTTTAACAAAAAGTCCTTTTCCACTTTGTTTTTGCATCAGCACATGCAGAAAAACAGGACACCAATGTTTCCAATCGTATATTTGTTCTCACTTACATACTCACACATATACATGCATTTCTATTTACAGGGAGCTTACTTGCTCCTCTGATCATAAAACATTAGTGAAATTAGTGGGAACTACATGAAATTGAAGTTAAGTTAAGAGTCACAACTTACCTGTGTTGACCAAATGGGGGGCAGAGAGTCTTCTGACCTTGGAGGTCACCGTCCTTGCCTCCACCCACAGATCTGTTGACAGACGTGCCACGCGAAAAGGTTGAGGAGCTGGAGGTGGTCGAAGAGGGAGGATTGGGTGAGGAGGGTGGGCTGGGGGAGGAGGGAGGAAAAGCGTGTACCTCCTGATGAGAGAAAGGCTGCCCCGGATCCCCCCAAAACAAACTGGCCCCTGAAAAGCATGATGAGAGTGTACGTGATGTAGAAACACAGTACATTACAGCTGAGTGCGAATGCGGTGGGCGGCAGGGAAACAGGTGTACCGTCCCGCCAGCGACAGCCTCGTCTCACCTGTCCCCACGGCGATGCTCGCTGTGCTCCTGCATGTCTGAGTGTCTACCTGCTGTCTGGATGACTGAAGCTTCCCCTGAGCCTCGAGCAGCACCTGGACCTGTAGACCATTAGGAAACAGTCAGTGCAGTGAGGATGCAGAGAATCCTAAAAGATTGAACTGTTCTTGATGAAAATCTGCTAGATAACCATGTACAAGCCCTTGTTGAAGGACTGAAACCACAGCTTCAGTGCTAAGTTTTGTGGTTTCTTGTGTCCTTACCTTACAGGGACATTCAGTGCTGAGTGTGGGGCAGCTGCCCTCTGCTGCTGGGTTTATGCTGAGTAAACGAGTAAATTAAACTGACTCAGTTAAAGAGAGAGAATTGTTTTGATGTTTGCTGTGTACGAAATCTGAATGTTAACATACTATTTTTTCTCAAAAATTTATATAAAACTGACATGGCTGCAGCCGGAGCCTTATGTGTTATTCTTTATCTCACAGCACTGGAACAGTTTTTTGTAATAATTTGGTAATATGGTCACCGCCCTGTTTGAAGCAGGTTATAAACTTTTGTTGGAAAAGTTGTTCAGAAATACTATGATGAGAAATTAGAGAAAAGACGATTGATTGATTGATTGATTGTCAGTCAACAGGAAATTGATCAGCAACTACTATTAACTAATGAATGCCAAATATGGAATGGGAGTATTTTCCTCGATGACAGTAAACTGGATGTCACCAGGTTTTAGAACTGTAGGACAGACAAAAGCAAGACATTTTCAGATGTCATTTCTTTGCAACTTTCTAATGCTGTTTTAGAGCAACTGATTAAATGATTAATTGAGGAGACAATTTGGAGCTTATACAGTAATGAAAATGATTATAAGCTGTAGCCTTATTATAAATGATGTACAGCAAAAACAAAAGAAGATCACAGCTGCAATAAACAACAATCATCCACAATGTCCTCTCAACATTCCCAGACATGGTCCCGTTTCCACTGATGTGATGACAAGTTTAGAAAAAGAGCTGTTCCTTTACTACGTGTACCAATGGCTACAGAGCGTTACCTGAGCCTGCAGGAGGCGCAGCTGGTGGTCCTGATGGAGGACCAGCTGGTAGGTGTCCGACAGAACCATTCCTCCCGCTGGATCATGGCACTGAGTCACACAGGAGGGACAGGGGAGCCAGGGGGAAGCGACAGGGCTGGCTCCTCTTGGACATGAGGGGTGAGGAGAGTTGGAGGCAGCACACCACGGAGGAGGTGGAGGAGGAGGGTGGCTGCAGGGACAGTTGGGGGAGGGTTTGGAGGAAGGAGGAGTGTAGTGGACGGTGGAGGGTGGCCCAGGTGAAGTATGGTGATGGGCTGGAGCATGGTGACTAACCCATGGAGGACTGAGTTTGTGGGCAGAGTCAGGAGGAACAGAAGGCACAGCTGGACAGCTGCTGGCTGAAGGAGGAGTGTCGGGATGTGAGGTAGGTGGAGCAGCAGCAGGGAGGAGGCCTGGGGAGGACAACATGGGGGTGCAGTCATAGGTGTGAGTGGAGCAGCAGGTGCAGGGCTGCTGTAGGTTGGAGTTGGGAGTGCTATGGAAGTGAGGAGGAGGGGGTCTGGGGGCTGAAGATGAGGCTGCCGTGGGTCCAGCTGGAGGATCAGGCTTCCTGGCAGAAGGCCTGAGGGCATAGCCACGGTCCTGCCCACCGTTGTGACTAGAGGTGAAGCTGCCATCAATCAGCAGGGAGAGTTCAGGAACACACGGCTGAACTCTACGAGTCTAAAAGAAACAGTCATTGACATGACAGTTTACACGTGCCCTAGGAGTGTGTATGTGTATTGATCACAGGACACACACCAGCCCAAAAAACATGCTCCCCAACAAACAATGAAAGCAGCAGCAGTTAAACAATAATTTGTTTTTTTTATTTTTCTGGAATGCGCCGGTAGGTGGCAGCAATTTGTAAAAGCTCTTTGCTTTTGAGTTTTTTTTTTTGGATATATTGTTGTCTTTTTATTGACATTACCTGTCAGATTAGGTTTTCTTGGATGATTTTTTATACTGAGTTGAAATCTCTGCAACTGAGGAGATTTTTCTACATATATTTTGCTTTTTTCACAAGTTGTTATGATGTGTATCCATGGCAACGGAAAAATTGTTTACAACCGGGATCAACTGTTAAAACTCTCCCAAATCAAGATTTTCAGCAAAATAATACGTCAAATCCCAGTGGAGTTAAAGAGGAAGAGAAGAGGTTGCAGGGCAGGGATAAGGCAGAGAGAAAAACGGTGGAGATTTAAACCGTTTCTTCCAACTGTTGTGATGGGTAATGTGAGATCGCTAGCTAACAAGATGGACGAGCTTGAAATGCTAACAAGGTCTCAAAAAGAGTACAGAGAGTGCAGTATTATGTGCTTCACTGAGACATGGCTGCATGAACACATCCCGGACTGTAATGCCTCTGTACCCGGCTTCAAGGCGGTCCGTGCAGACCGAGATAAACAGCTCAGCGGGAAGCTGAAGGGAGGTGGTATTACAGTGCTGGTTAATCAGCGTTGGTGCCATCCTGGACACGTCACTGTCAAGAAGAAGATCTGCACAAGAGACATCGAACTGTTTGCTGTGAGTTTCCGTCCATATTATTTACCCAGAGAGTTTGCCTGTGTTATTCTGGTAGTGGTTTATATAATACCAGGTACCGCACCAGAGACAGCCTGTGATGTCATCAGCTCCGTCGTGGCTAAACTACAAACACAGCATCCAAACTCATTCATGGCGATCTCTGGAGACTTCAACAACGTCTCCCTCTCTGCTACGTTACCAACTTTCCAGCA